GGGGCAGTGGTGGCTTCGCCGCTGTTTCCAGCGGCGCCCGCACCGCGGCGTCGCAATCACTGAGAAAGGCGGCTTCACCGCCAACTCTCGCGCCTTCCGCGAGGAGCGCTTAAGGCGTTAGTTAACCCTTTCGCTACTACGGGCGACTATAGTCGCTCTGCATAAAATGCCACTGACATACTACGGGCGACTACAGTTGCTCTTCATAAAATGCAATTGACATGACAGGCGACTTTAGACGCTCTGCATAAGATACCGTGTATTGGATATATGACTAGCGATTAAAGTTATTTCACATCGAGTATCTTTTCCTGGAATGTAACATCAGTATTTTCTTTTTATCATTTGTTTCTTACGAAATTCCTCAAGAATAACAATCACAGAAAAATGCCAAATCTGTTTGGAGACGCTTGTCCGAATGTTTGCATCGAACAAAGTTAGTGCTTATTGAAGATATATAATTTATTTTACTGAAGATATATAATTAATAAACCCCATACTTTATATGTGGTGTGACGTAGCAAAAATCGTTGCTCGTCACAAGGAATATTAAGACCGGAGCGGGGAGGAGTCCCTCTGGCAATTATATAATTATTATTGGTTTCCTAATAATGTAAAATTTGCGATAGGCTTCACGGTGCGCCAGGCGCACCGTGCACGCGGAAAGAATTTGCACAGGCTCACGGACAGCGCGCGGAGCCCCCGAATTCGGAGGTCCTGCTGCCATCAGTCGGCGGCCGCCCTAATTAGGCGGCCTAGTGACCTATTTAAACTAAGCGAGATGGCAGATCGGGGCCCTGTAAGAAGTTACACTAGGCCCACCAGGACACCGAAGCCGGAATGTAGGATCTTACGGCGCATGTGTCGGAATTATTCCGCCGAGTGTCCCGGCCTTAGCGGACATCTTACCGGTGAGCCCGAGCCTGCCCAGGGGGCCTCTTTGACCGCTATCTTTCCCGAACCGTGAGCCGATACCGCGCCGCGATCGCCGCCATTACGCGTCTAAACGGCCGAATGTAACTGGGAGGTCTTTATTTCCGTGCGTGCCTCCCGAATGTTTTGGGAGAACTTTCGCCTTTATCGAAGTACCGTTTCCGAGCCGCGGAAAGCGCGTCGGGTTTTTAATGTAATTTTCCGACGGGCGGAAACTCCCACCCGCTCGAATGTATCGCGCCCCGTACCGTCTTGTCGCGTATTTCCGTAATTGGATAGGAATTTCGTTTTAGGCTGCCAGTGAGCAGGTCGGAGTGAGTGGGAGATGTAGGGCCGTATCGCGGGCCGGCACCGAATCCCTTTTGCGCAATTACCGAAGGCACCGGGCTCTTATCGGGGTCCTGGGGGCACAGTAAAGGTCCGTCCGCTAGGGTGTTGTACCCTGTACGAATTCCCACCGGGGAGTTCGTTTCTGTAATCGCGCGCTCTAATTTTTTCCATTGGTCCCGTTAAGTTTCGATTTCCCCGTTTAAGTTTTTTCCGTATCAACTTGGCGTAACGTTCCGCCGATTTTGTAACACGCTACCGTGTAGGGCTCAGGCGAAATAAATCTCCCGAAGGGAGGATCTATCGCAGTTTTGTTTCTCGTTACTTTACCCTACCCTGATTATCGAATCCCGAATCAGACTTCTCCTCGCTCGCGCTTCCCGGAGTACGAACCCCCCAGCTCTGCCGTGCCGCGAAGGGCCTAAGGTCCTCGCGGGACTGGGTAGCCGGTCGGATACGCCCAGGGGAAGTTCCCGTCGTCGGACCAAGTCGGCGTGCTCGCGCTACCGGGTACCGGGATCCCGAGGTGCGCTTGCGCACCTGGCGCCCTAAATAAATCGGGCTCCCGGAAGGGCCGATGATCGGGCTCGACCCCTGTCTCGTACTATATCCCTGGACGTATGACTGTTTGCCGACTAGGGATAAGAAATTCCCATCGCAATATGTATAAGCCGACCCTTTTATATCACCTTAAGTCTTCTGTCAAATGTTGACTTGGAATCATCTTATTTCAATTGAACGGTTGTATCGCATTGGTTACTAACAGAAGAATTTAAAGATTCGTCTTCTATCGTTCCTGTACTGCCAAATACCTTTAAAACCTCATCACGAAGCCCATTTCGATTTTCATTAGTAATCGTGTATATATGTTTTTTGCTTAAATTCGGTCCCAGAGTTTCCATTTTCTTACAAATGGATTGATAAATTGCATCAGACGGTGGAAGAGGATGCCCCACATTGTCGACGGTGCAAACCCCGTCAAATCAACAACTGAGAAATACTTACGTTATTATGTAGGTGTATTACATACAAGAAGATGCCCGGAAAACAAACAAAGAGGCGAAAGATTTGTCTCTTTCGAAATACGACATTCAGAGAAGGCCGATAGATAGAACGGATTCAGAGTATTGATTGCTATCCAGATCAGCATTGTCGATCAGCATTTCACTGCCTTGTTTGTTTTTCGGCTCCGTTCTTGCATGCAATTCGCTTATACAATAACGTAGGTTTTATTCAGCTGTGGATTTGGTGGGTTTTGCACCGTCAACACAATATCGGATATCCTCTACCACCGTCTGAAGTAGTTTCTCGATCCATTTGTAACGAATTGGAAACTCTGAGATTGAGTATAAGCAAAAAAAAACATATATACACGTTTATTAATGAAAATCGAAATGACCTTCAGGATGAGGATTTAAGTTTTTTTAAAGAAGGGATAGAAAACGAATTATTAAATTCTTCCACGATGATAATATTCTATTGAAATACGATAGTCCATTTTACATTGGGGCGCTATAGTTTGTTACTGTTTTCGTTTATGTAAATACAATTTTTTCAACATGTGCGGGGTACCGATTTTCGGATGAACTATTCGAAACTATTGTACTAACGTATTTTCGAGCAGGAAACTCACCGAATATTTCTAAATTTATAGCTACGTTCGTGAGATGTGATGTGATGTGTAAAGTTAACGACTCATTTCTTCAAAGTACGATTTTTGGGGTAGTGAGCGGAACTATTTCTTAATCTTATTGGGAACTGTAGAAGCATCGTGAACATTGCTAGAACTGTTATTGAACAGTGAGACGCTAATCTATGAGACGCCAACTTCACAGGGGTCACGAAAACGAGATCATGTGACGTCATTGAACTGTGGCATTTTGCCTAATGAAGTATGTAAAATGGACGTTAGATTTAATCATTTCATGACATTATTAGGTTTATAAATGATCTCAAGTTGACGTGCAGACAAAGTGAATCTGTTTGCTAGGAATATTCCAATGTCCTTATGTAACCCATGCTAAGCGCTTAGCATTTTTGTGGCGAGTGCATACGTCCCAACTGTTTCGATAGTCACCTGTATGTTGTGACGTGGTAGGACTGCCGGCACAAATCGGGGCGGAACGGGAAGAGCAAGTACCAAATTATTCATTAATTCTCCTTCCAGCATCGGTCAGCGATGCTCGGGGCCTCCAGAAATAATCAGTAAGTGTAAGTAGCGGCGGATTGTTTAAGTAATCGGTCGGCCGGCAGACCTACCGCGCGCAGTCCCGTGTGGGCCTTCGGTTACCGTGTCGTGTCAAGGCGATTTTTGAGGAAGGCGCTCCCATTTATCAGGCAATTGGCGGCTTTCAGCGGAGCGTTGATCTTTAATCGGCGCGCCGCGAGACCCTTCTCGACATCTAGCGTGGGCCTAGTTAATTGCCTATCGCCTATGCGATCTCGCAGTCGCCGGAGGAATTCGGGAGAGGGTTTCCCGCAATTCGGGCGATCCTGCCGACCCTCGGAGCTTATTGTCCTGGATGCTCCGAGTGTCACCGGTGCTATTACGTCTTCCGTGTCCCGGGTAAAAAATTCCGTTGCCGAAGGGAAAGCCCTACCCCGTTGCCGCCCGTTCCTGAAAAATTGGGTGAGCAAACCCAAGCTGAAGTCAAATAGAATCCGTTTTGGCGATATTAATGTTCGATTTATTGCCGAAACCCTTCTCGACGCGTGCCACTCCCTCCATTTTCGATCTTACTGTGCGCCTCGCGACCGACGGCCGGTGAAGCGTGTCAGAATTGTATTAGTCCTGCAGTCCCGCGATACCGGAGACCTCCTCTGCGGGGAGGGTAGCTCTCGGACGTTACTGTTGTGACGTGTCAGTGATCCCGCGGCTTTGCGTGGTACTTGCCGCTCCCCGAGTCGAAGTTGACGGGCCGAGGACCGCACAGAGTCCAGCAGAGCGTGGTGCTCTGGAGGGTCTACGCCGCAACCAGTCCTCGTCGGGGCCACATGGCTCCCATTTCAAGTTCTTGTGCCGGCAGGATCCCGAAGTCTGTTATCGAGTGTCTCTGTTAGTTCTAATTATCGATTGTATCCGTTAGTTGGTGAATAAACAGCTACCGCGCCGTTTCCCGGAATTTGGTGTCCAGTTTTTCGGACGTTCCGACCACCCGGTCCATTTTGCTTTTAGCCCGGACGGCTAACCTCCCGCCTGTACCGTCCCGTGAAAAGTCAGGACGACTTTCGCGGGGCTGAATGGCCGGAGATCGGGCACTCTCGCGTTCCGCAGTGTAGATCCCGCCCCCTCGCCGGGAACCGCGTACCACGGCTCACTTCTCGCGCCCGACGCCCTGATAAAGTTAAAACGGCCCTGCGGCCGTAAAGCGACCTCCCGTCGACCGACCCCGCGGAGCGCCGGACGACCTAGCAGACCCCTATCCCCTCCCCACTTGGCAGATCGCAAACCTGAGGCAGGAAAACGCGTCGCAATGTATATCGAATTACAAGCAGAATAGATTCCAGAATCCATTCTAACCGAAAATTAGTTGTTTCTTCGCCAAGCCTTAAAGATATTCTTTTAATTTCTGTACTGAAACAGATGAACGATTCAACCCAATAAACGGTTATTCATTCTTAATTAAAATCAGTTCGCTTCATACAATTTGTACCCCCGAGAATTGTGCCTTGAAAATGCAGCCAGAATCTGTATAATAAACTTAATTTATTCTTGTATGACGATAAGCAAGTATAATTACCTGATTATTTCTATCGCGACGCCTCCTATAGTCTTCGTCGTCTTCTTCTTCCGAAAGCTGTATTTTCTTTTTATTTGCAGAATTGGAACTTTTATTTTTTGGTGCCATCTATGAACAAAGAAAACAAGTCTATATAAATGAATTAAGAATATACCCAGTAGTTCAAATGAAGTGCATTTTCGTCATACTATAAATGTTAACAAATTCGGTTATTTGCAGATTATGAAATGAATGCACGTTGGCTCCGTATTGCATTAGTAACAATAAGCAAGAAACTCGGTAGCGTTTTGTACCAAATACATTTTTGTGACAAAATCGATATGTTAATCAGTTTAGGGGATCGGTTTGAGCGAGATGCTACTGATGAAAAATGTTTTTTAACTGTCCGTTTCCTATTTTCTTCCTATTCGTTTATAGCTGCTCTAATTGATTTGAAGGAGATCAAATCATCCCTCAGTTCCGTTCAAAAATAAGTTCCTTGTTTCATACACTTATAATGGATCAATTTGAATTAAACTTATTCAATGAAATATTTTCTGCACATTACTCAGAGAGTTTTAAAAATTCTGATAATTCCATATAGGTCAAGAATCCAGGGGAAACATTCTTTACTGAAAGTAATTTTAAGAAGAGTTGATTATTTCTTAAATACATGTTTAAAGTCAAATAGCATACAATTATTAAATTGTAATATCAAAATGTTCATAATTAAATTTCTCAAATTCCTAACAATCCTTTTAATGATATACTACGTGACATAACATTTTTTCCATGAAAATACCGTCACACACAAGGTCGGCTAGACATTTGAAAATCATTCTTATAGGCAGGGCTGTGTAAAATTTTATTTGAAATAAAAAATATATTTTAAAAATTATTTAAAAAATAATATGTATTGAAACACAATTTCAAATATTACTTCAAAATATAATTCTCTGAAATAATATTTGAAATACTGTTTCAAGGTGTGATTCTCTACAATATTATTTAAAATACTTTTGAATGGTAGAATTATTTGGAATAATAGCTTAAATATTCACAATATAACACATTGACATACTATTTCAAATTGGGATTTACCACATTTTTTCAAATTCACCATTAATATTTTTTTATCTTAAGTACTTGCTCGAGATCAATATAACATTCTATCCAAAATGGAATATAATTTTCATTTTGTAGGGCTTCAAAACGGGTGAGCGGGAAAAAAACAGGGCTTTGGCGGAAACGGCTTGTTAATATTCAAAATAGCACTTTAATCTCGTTCTTACGAACGCGTTTATGCCGCTCACCCGCTGGAGACGGACTCCGAAATTTGAGAATCCAGAGAGTATATTAACATTTATATTATTATCATCATCATCGTCATCGTCGCCATCGTTGTTGTTGTTATCATCATTATTATTGTTGTTATTATTACACCAACAAACAACAACAACAACATCAATAATAATAAATCGATAAAGATTTTATCACAAAACTATCTGAGTCGTGTTTCTCTCCTCGAGGTTTATTTCTCTGGTTTAATGCGCTTTAAGTGTGTAATTAATTCTTGTTCTGAATTTTTAACCTGAAATGTAAATGTTCCAAACGGCATAACTTTCATCGGCCGAATATTTCTTATATTTTTATCGGCAAATTATTTAGTGATTCACGAGTCCCTTTTGTGCATCTACGAGCGAGCTTTCACCCGAAGCGGTCGGGAAATATCAATCAGAAAATGCGGTGTAATTAATTGTTACCATATGATTGTTAACTATGATTGGATCTTGTGATCCGAACTTAATTTCAAATTCGAATTTATTTCTTTTGTTTTAATAAAACTGAGAACGGGTGATCCCCTTAAATTTTGTATTTTCTTAAATTATTTTGAGAAACCTTTTCCTGGTCAAGGCAACCATAACGCAGAAAATCGGGCCTTTACCGTCCGTAGTAGAATTCACATTGAACTTATCACGCTCTTCTCCGTTGCCACTCAGAGTGACTTATTAATGAGCTAGCTGGCACTTCGCACCCGAAGATCCGAGAATCCTACGGTTAAATTTTGAGTTTCCGAGGAAATAAAGGTTCGTTCGGAAACGAGCTCGGGATGAGCAACTTCGCGCCCTTTGCCCTCACCTTCCAAGCCCGCTCTTGCGGAGAGACCTGGAACCCACTTAGACGAAGCTCGCGTAGGGGAATTCATTATCTTAAGGTATCTGGCACACACCAAGCATTTTGAGTAATTTAGGTATTAAAATAATTGGGCTAGGTATTAAAGTAAATGGGCTCAGATAATGTGCGAGGGTGAGGTACAAGGTACCTGATCACTGCTGGAATTGTGCAACCTCTTCGGCGGCCCTGAATCATAAACCGCCAAAAGTGAACCCCAAAAAGGTTATCCATCGCAAACTCTTAAGATAGATTTTGTTTTCAATATAACATAATATACGTATTTAGCTACAATGGTTCGTTACTTACATGTGCACAATTAATACTTTAAGGGTATGGTTCTATAGAATTTTATTTTCCATGTAACACCAAGATACGTAATTGGCAAAAGTAACTTATTTCATTGTTTTGTGCGATTGCTCGCTATTAAGTACACGGGTACGATTTTGTAAAATAGGGGTAGATCTTTTTACAGTAGAACGTATTTGGCGCAATTTTTTTTTTTACACGAAAGGTGTTTTTGCGAGGAGACAGTTTTCTCTTTAAAAACCTGCAGCCACGTCTTAGTAAGAGGTTGATACATAGGAGCTTTATAATCTTTGAATTTCCCATAAACAAAATTATGGACAGTCCGCAAGATTATAGCGAGTAATACACAATGACTTCTTCAAAACGTAATTAGAATCAAAGTTAATCAAAGCGGTAGTTCTATTTGGTATAAGTATGTTCCATCGTATCTATTAATTTTCTCGTTTATATGCAAGAAAATCATTAAACAAAATGTTATTTGAATTTAAGATATACTCCTTTGCTAAGTACTGAACTCGTTGAAATATTTTGTATAAATTATTCAACATTCATTTTAATTACAGTAATTAAATAGCGTTGAAAGATGTAATTTTACTTTTATATGAAAAAAAAATTTGAAGTACCCTGAGACTCCCCTTACACAGAAAAAAAAATGTTTAGTTATAGTTACTAGAAAACCATGCCATTTACTTAAGTGAAAAACGACATCAATGAAATGTTTTTAGTTGCGGCGAATAAATAGTTTTTTCACTAGAACGATAAAAAATATTTATGCCTACTGAAACTTTAACAATATTTATATAGTTATAGTAATCATACAATATACCAAAGTATACGAAATTACTAGAACGGAATATTTTAATGCGTTGTAATTAAATTTAATTGTTACACTGAGGAGTAAACTTAGTAAAATTAACTAATGTTCTATTAAATTGTTTTGTTAGTATAACATCGCAAATAGTTCTAGGAGCTGTAAACTGTAGTTTCATCTGCCATTATTAATTGACATGTTTTTTTAGTACTCACAAAGAAATGTTTTTTTAAATGTATTGTGATGTGGTAGAATTTGGGCCACGTCACGACTCCTCCAATTTTGCTATTTTACTCATTTTTAGAGCCATAAAGGATCCCAGGTCCGGCGGTCACCGACCCGAGGGGAGGAAAATCATGACATTTAATTATTTAATTTTTCGGCGTCTTTTGTTTCAGTACAAATTATTATATTGTATACAATTTCTTCTCAATTCTCTGTGAAACATGCATGTTTAGTCGATATTGTTAATGCGCATTCTTGGGCATTCACCGCAATATTTCACAGAGTATTCGGTCAAATGTTCAAGAGCTCGTAAATTTCGGCAGGCTTACCGGGGCTCAAGCCTGCGTGTAAACAGCCCCAACCTTGCGGTGGTCGCGCGCTTGCGGTCGCTCGTCGCCCTGGCGTCAAGAGAAAAGACGCCGAGGAAGCCGCGGCGCACAGAGATGCAAGATTGAACGCACCGATCAAGGTGCCACGGCCAGTCCGTCGGGATGACTTGGAGGATCAAGCCGACCGTGCAACTGACCCTGGTGGCCTTGCCTTGCGGGGGCGAGCCGTAGACGGGCTGTAGCGGCTCGAGCACAGCCGCACGCAGAGCATCCAGGACTACCCGATCAGGAACCGGACCAGGAGACAGGGGCTCCAGAGAAGACCCTGACTGCCACCGACCGGACAAAACGTGGGTGCCGTGCTCCGGGAAGGAGCAACAACCTGCGGGCCAGGAGTCCGACCACGCCCTTGTTGGAGTACCTGGGGCTTGTCGGATGATCTGCCCTGGGTGAGCCAGGATCCCCCGGAGTAGAAAATTTCGGCTGCCACAAGAACCCAGACCGCGACGGGCTCCGACGGGCCACCGATCGCAACGGCCGCAATGGCATCACCGGCGGCTCGGCGCGCGCAGGGCACGGGCCGATTCTCCCGACCAATTGGCGACGCGGATTAGGATTCTGTGGGGTCTCAGCCGATACCCTACAAGGAGCAACACACGGAGAGCTCCATCCTTATCTGCCTTCAACCGCCGGAGCGAGCAGATCGCCTCACCGTCCAAGCAGTTTTCCTTAACTTATTGTTAGTGCGTTGTCTCGATTCTCTCCCGAACTTCAGCAGAGTTCTAAGACTTTCCGACTCAGCGAGGGACTTTGGCCGAGGGACCGGAGAGCGGAAGCGGAATTTTTTGTGTAAAATAAGTACCCAGTCTGTCTCGAGGAACCCGTCTTGTCGGTACTTTGGTAGAATCCGAGCCCTTTTCGAGTTCTTTGGGCCAGAACAGTATCGCGTCGGCAATCCTCCAATTTCTCGCGCGGGCGATTTCCTGGTAGGGCCTTTCTTCTCTGGTGAGAGACTGAGAGAGAGCCGTGTTTTCGTTTGGTCTCCAGGGAGGCCGTAGGGCTCCTCGAGCGACGGGGAAGCGAACTCATTTTCTCTTTTGCGTTGTCCCGAAATTTTCTGTCGCGTAGTTTTAGATAAAGGCGCGTAGTAGTATTTCGAATGGTAAATTGTCTGGTCGCGAAAATTTAGTTCATTTCTCGCGCAGAGATCTATGAATGGTTTTGGTCTTCGGCGGGATAGTTTTGCTGATGCGTTAATTTAGTCTGTTCTTTAGGGCCAGTTT